AAAAAGGGGGGGGGGGGGGGGGGAAGGAGGAAGCTTAGGCACTTTTCATTTTTAAGAAATGGGTCATCTTTTAGCATTCAAAACCAGCTTCCCGGTGTCTCCTTATTTGTTGCATAAGGACAGGAGTTTTCTGAGCTGTGCCTTGCATCCCGCCAGTGGGTTGTAAGGGTTTCAAGTGAGTCATTCTCACCTGGCAAGGCTTCTGGGGACTGCACTGTTTGAGATGCACAGTGTGCCCACTTATCAAACTGGCACTGGGCTCAGGTTCTTTCCTGATTCCTCTCACCTGTACTGAAGGCATGCGTGCAAAGTATGCACGGGATTAGCCCTGCACCATGGGGAGGGAAAGAGAGGGGGAAGCTAGAAGACGAGCCTCACGAAAACACAGAATTAGTTAGAAAAACATGAAGCTGAACTCAGCCTTGGCCTAGCTTTCCAGCATTAGCTGTTGCACTGAGTACATTGGACCTCATCCCTCCCTGTTACCGCCAGGGAGTTATGCAGAAAAGCTGTGCGCAGTAGAAGGGCAGGAAGATCAAAAGGCAACTCCAGTAGGTTGCAGTGGCCAGATCTGGTCTGCCAAGTGATTTTTTTAAAATCTGACCTGCAAAGCCAGGATGTTGGTGATATTTCAGTGGTAAGAGGCAATGGGTGGTGGCAGCCAGGGTGCAGGCACAGTGGGGAAGTGGCGGAGGATGGGCTGCAAGTGGCACCCTGCCTTTGCGCCCAGTTGTGTTAACTGGACCAACTGCTGCTAAAAGGCTCCTGACCCCTGACCTAGGTAACCACCAAGATACCATGCCTCTAGGAATTGTCACCCTGAACCAGGTGCCGGTAGCAAGTATGACCTCCTGTTGTCCATGCGCATCTGCAGAAGGCCCCACATGGCTGAGTAGAATAGATGTGTGATAACTGCTGGGCAAGCAAGAGTTAAATGTGCAAAGCCTGCCTGGTGTGACAAAGCATGGGCAGTGGGTGAACAAAATGGACTTTGGAGGCCTGGGCTGGAGCTGGGGCTGGGGCTGGGGAGGGGATGAAGAAAACCAGCTGGGATCTGGGAGCATGCAGACTGTGCCAGGGGGAAAGCGAGTCAGGGAGATTGCAAGATAGAGAACTTGAGGTGCATTTAACAAAATAATGGGTTAATCGACAAAACACACAAAAATCACATGCTTTAAACCCATGAAATCCCCCAGCCAAGGCTGGGCTTGTCAGTCATCCTTATAGGGCAAAGCCAGGGCAGGATCAGGCAAGAGGCCCAGTTCTCGGAGGGGGTCAAGCAACTTTGCTTCTCCTTCCCATTCTTCTGCTGGGCACTGACTCCCTCTGCTCTTTCTCCCCTCAGTGCTGAAGCCTTTCCTGGACAGACAGACTGCCCTCAAACCTTGTACCAGCGTCAAGGTATGTGTTCCTCTCCGCTGCCTTTTACAGCCGTCCCTGCTTTCTGTTTAAGTCTTTGCTCAGGGTGTGTAGATCAGTGACAGGGTGGTGAGTGGGGAGGAGGCTTTATGGTCCAGCCCTTGATCTCAGTATCATAAGGGCCATGCAGTCTGCCCCGTGATACTCCAACTGGGTGCATCTTGTGGGCTCCGGTGAACCTGGGGTGCCAACCTTAGCTGGGCAGCAGTTGGGAAGCATGAAGGAGCCAGGCAACAGCTTAGATCACAGGGTGGACACAGGGCTTGTGGCACATCCCTGGAAAGCCACAGATCATTATGAGAGGCTGGGTTTGTGCACTGGGCTCTGTGGTTGTGATGGAGGCAGTACTTAGTGGGTTCGCTCCAGCTGGACTGAGTAAGGCGCCTCACTATTGCCCGCCACGCAGCAAGGTTTCTTCTGGCTAGGCAAGAAGGTTTGCAAGACACAGCAGGCATCAGAGTTTCTGGAGTCCCCTTTGTCCAGTGGGGCTGGAGTTTGTAAGCCACAAGCATTTGCTAATTCACCCTCGGGTGTTTATAGTCCCAGACCTGCTATTGGGTTTCCTTTCCTTCCTCTGAGCTCTGGCAGTTTGTCAAGACCATCTCTAAGGGTCTTCCAGCATGACCGATGCCAGGTGTATGGGCACCAGCCTACCCATTCCTGCAGGCCCAGCCACTGGGTGGTGCAGTATGTATTGAGTGGGGAGCATGCGCCTCTCCTGTCCCTCCCCAAGGTTCGCCAGGCCTCTTGCTTTCTCAGCGTGATCCTCCAGCTCCTCTGAGTGGTTCTGCAGGGCGACATCTGAGGTTCATCCTAGCAAGGTCAGATGCCAGATCCCCCTTGAACCAAGCCAACTCTCTATTGAACTTGAAGGCATCTTCCATATCTATCACACCCTTCTCTTCCTGCACATACATGTAGAGCTTATGCCTCTCCTAACCTCCATTTAGAAAGCTATCCTTGTGTCCCTTTATATTTCAAAACCTGGATGCCCTCTTGCCATAGACTCCCCTCAGTCTCCATATAATAGGGAATATTTACAATGCAGAAAATAAAGGTTTGTTTTTGGCCACCCTGAGCTTTGGCACTGCAGATGTGTCTTGGATGCATCTTCAGAAGCAGCTACTGACTCTGGGTGTCCAAGCCTGAGACACTGTACAGGCGCTGAACTTTTTTTCCCCAGAGAAAAATCTCCTGTAGACTTTACCTTAGCACAGCAAATGCTTAACTCTTCTGGAAGATCAGATGCAATGTATCTAGCTGCAAGCATCCAGCTATGGACTCAGTGGTCTGTGTTGAAAACCTCACGCGTGCTGATGCCTGGAAGCAGCAATGGGACTTGAGCAGTGCAGGCCTCGGGCTGAGTTGTTCCCAGTCAGCAGCGAGCTTGTGAGAGCAGGTTACATGTGGGCATGAAGCACACCTTCAACACAAGCCCGGGCTCTAAGCTCTTTGAATATGTAAATCTACTGCAGCACACCCGTGAAATGAAAACTTGGGACATATACAGTAGGAAGAAAAGGGTCTCTGTCCTTCCGATGCATGGAGAGGATTAGAGCCCATGTGATTATTGCAAGTCTCGTAGCAGAGGAAGGATTTACTGGATGTAGGACATGGAGAGAAAAGAATTATTGTCCATGTGACCCCCGCACCCCCTCCCCAGAGGTGACATTTGAAAACATTGGCCCTTTGCTGATTGTGTAATTGGTTTTCTGTGCATTTGACGAGGAGTTTAAGGGACTGCTGCTCTGTGTCACAATACGAGGCAAGTACCTTGGGATTTAATGCCTTGACTTCCTAAAAACTGCTGCAGTATTTGAGCAATATGTACTGCCTGTTTCCCAATCTTTCTCCTGTACAATTACTGTCTCCTGAGCGCTGTGATTCCTCCATTCATGTGAGCAGGGAGCTGTGATCTCGTGGTCTCTAGGGAATTGAAGGCAGGGTTCAAACCGGGCAGGTGCTAGCTATAGTGATAGTGGGCCTGAATCTAAACGCTGTGATGCAGGTAGAAGTAAAGTGGGGCCCCACTGAAGTCTCAGGGCTTTTGAACCAGCCAGTGAAAGAAGAATTGAGCACTGCGATGTGTTGGCCTACATCCAGAGCAGCTGTGCTGAAGTTACCCTGCATTGACACCAGTGTCATGGAGAGCAGAAACTAGGTCAAACTCAGCCTACCCCCATGACAAACATGAGCTTGGCCCCTTCATGGGTGGATTTGACTGGGTTCCCCTGGGAAATGCGAGCAGTGGACCACAGCCCACCCATTTTGTAGCCTCTGCACTGAAACGCTAGCAGCAGATCTTCCCTGTGTGTTGTAAATGCGGGGGATGCTTCAACAAAATGGGAAGGTGGTACTCACCGCAGGCTGCATACCCCGTAGCAGCATGTACTGCCCTACAATAGTGCACAGTGCAGCCTCCCAACCAAGTAGGCTAACTTCGCCATCACTTAGCCAGGAACGCATCTGTTGGTGTGCGACTAAACCCCTGGTCTGAATCCAGAGTCACTCATGGAAATGATTGGAGGTGCAGAGGGCAGAGCTGGGCGCACATCTCTTTTCTGAGGGCCTTGCCTGCACTGAGCAGCAGGCTTGCTCCATGCAGCCAGGGCGTTCCCTTGTTGTCATGGGGGCTCTCTTTGTAGGCAAGAGGTGGCAGAATCAGGTCCTTTCCCTCAGCTCCCACCTCCTGAGGCAGACATGGGTATTGCTTGGTCTGGGAGTTCAAGGACCCAACCATGCATGTGTCCCAAGGCACTGCTGCAGCGTGCCCAAGGGCCTTGCAAAGCGGTGACAACCACTGACTAACTTTAACTTCTGCTGAACTTCCTGCAGAGAAGCCCGCAGGTGCTCAGTGCCTGTGTCATGGGCCAGCCCATCCTGAGGCGGCTGATGGAAAACCCTTCCCACTGATTTAGTTATGGCCAGTTAATACCTAGCCAAACGTGTGCCGTCTCCTGGAGGCCAATATTGCTGAGTGCGACTGAGCTGGAAGAGGCAGCAATTCCATATGCCCCAAGTCCCCCAACCCTGAATGCCCATCCAAGGGCCTTGGGAAGGGACTTTCGTAGATGGGTGGGACAGTGATGAAGACACTGGCTTGGGACCCAGGAGGTCAGCTCTGCCACAGATTCCCAGTGCGCCCACGAGCAGATCTCGTAAGCTGTCTGTGCCTCACATCCTGCTCTGCTGTGGGGACGACAGTGCTGCTTCACGGGTGTTTTTGCACAGCTACGCCTCTTCAGATGTGCAGCTGTGATGGCAAAGCGTTTTGGGAAGCTATGAGAGAGCAGAGCCGGTGATGGCATTGGGTTGAAAGCCACCCAGAAAGGAGAAGCCTTGCTAATGTGTGCGCAGAATGCCTTCCTCCTCGGAGAGGAGCTCAGCACCTAATTGGCAGGTAATTATATCCTTTCCTGCCTTTCACCCTCCTCCCATCCCCTTTCTTTCTTCTGCGAGAAAAAAAAAATCAGCCCCGTCTCCCAGCACTGCACTTTATTTTAATGTAACCTAGCTCTGAGGCAGCTTTTTCTCATTTTTAAACTATTTCATATCAATCCTTGGCCTGACATTTGTTTTCTTTGAATTTGGTTGGGAAAATGGTCTACATTTCTAAGGATATCTTCTTTGGAATCTTGGCAGAGGCTGCACCGTATCTTTGAGGAAACTGCAAATGCAAAACAGAAGGGCGATATTAGAGAAGCATAAACAAGATTTTCCCCCTTGCTAACCCTAGACAGGAGAGCGGCATGCTCCAGTCTGGGAAGAGAATCAGGCCACCAATTGGCAACGAGCAGTTGGGTCTGGAGGTCAGGAGTGGGGTAGGGGGAACAGCCAGAAGAGGCAGGTGGGCAAGGCCCCTTCCACGGTCCCCTCCCCAAAACTGGGTGGCATTGCAGAGAGTTCAAGTTTCCTCTGCCGGCACTGGCTGCAAGTGATTTTTCCCATTTCATTTATTCTGCAGACACTTGTCAGGTGCCTATTAAGGTGAGGAACCTCAGCTCCCTGGTATACGAGAGGTTTACAGATGCACAGAAGTTTAGGGACCTCGTAAGATCATCCGTCAGTACTTAGTGGGTCCGCTCCGCCCCACTCTGCTCTGGGCAGGAAAGACTGCTGGGCTCAAATAACCCCAGCAAGGTGTGCATCCAAGATGTGCCAGCCTTTTACAAACCGCCACTGCCCCCCCCCCCCGCCCCCCCCCAAAAAACCCC